CCCCCCCCTTAAAAAAAAAAAAAAAAAAAAATTTACTGTTTGTAAAACATGCAGATTTGATGGTCCTCCTGTGAGCATTTGCTATGAAGTTATGCCTGGCAAGACTGTCTACTTATTAAGTAGAATTTATTTAGTTTGTATTATTATTGTCTAAAGAGCTCAAAAAGTTCATTCACTTCACTATTCGTGAAAACCTTTAACTGGCAAATGATTTGTTTTTGTGAGTTTCCTTAAAAAAAGAAAAAAAAAGCTTACTTGCATTTATTCACATACCACATGCCCCTGAATAAGACGTGCACATAAAAAGAAAGTTCTTCTTTGAAAATACGTATTTGAACATAAGCTAAAAAAAAAAACTTGAAACCTATTCTTTATGCTTGTAAGCAGATGTTACCTCTCTCCCAGGAGAAAGCATTTTGTTCTGTGCCAAACAGTCTACAGACGTAATGTCCAGTCTTGGGCTAAGTCCCACGAAAGTATGCAGGACAAAGCGTGTTCCTGCTTTCTCCCGAGACACTGCAGAATGCATCTGTGTGGTTACTGTAGATCAGTGTCTTGGGACAAGCTGGGTAGGAGGTCATCTAGGCATCCTTCAATGCACGGCTCCCACACGCTGGCTACTCGAATGCAAAGCAGCAGCTCTAGCATCAGGACAGAAGTCTACTGCCCAGAAATGACAGGTCACAGGTGGCCTTGCTCACCTTTTTAAGGCCCTCTAACAGAAACTTCCCAGCTATTCTGTGCTCACCAGCCATACAACCAAGGTCAGCATCAGAACCCAACTGTTCATGCAAAGCATCGGGAGGACATCCCGAGCGCAAACCATGGCCCCACCAACTACTTTCAAGTCATCTACAAGCACAACACCAGTCAGAACCAAGGTAAGATACTGGACCATTGCTGCAGAAACAGTAGTCCACAAGCAAAAGGGTGACTGACCACAACACCAGCAGAACTGCAGGATGCCAAGGGAGCAGCTCATAAAGGCCCAGGATATGAACTGCATATCTGGCACACGCAGGGCATGGCACGCCTACTACGAGGCAATGAACGACAGAGCAGCCTCAACACATTGTGGGCACAGCCTGCATCTCCTGGGACTCAGATCTCACCATCACTACATGCCCCCAGAGACACCCAGATAACCCTAGAGCTGATCAAGGTCAAGGATTCCCTGCCTCTTCAGGACAGCAGCACAGACATGAAGACAGACCTGGAGCTGGACAGCAACCAATCCAAGTCCTCCGGTTGTCTGGAACATCCTGGCCATCCCGATGTGCAGGAATGAGCTGCAAATCCACTGGCAAAGCTCTCCATCACTGTGCACAATGCACTTAGCAATGCTGTCCTCCTAGTCCCAGGGACCCATTCAACATGAGAAAATATGCAGATGCCTTTTCCTGCCTGCCCACAGTTACATCTGTTAGCTCCAAGGTGGGAACCCCAAAGCTGAACCTCCTTTTACCCCTGTACTGAAGGTAACAAGCAAGAGAACAGGGGGTGGGCAAAGTGCCAAAAACCATCCCATGGTTTGTTCCCAAGAAGGGATGAGGAACCCCAAGTTGAGCCTCATGGCAAGCCTCCCCACCACTCCCCATTTTGTTTGACGAGGAGAGGTGAGGGGCAGTGGGGTGGTACCACTGCAACTGAATCAAACAATT